CTGACGACGGCTAACTTAAGACCATCTGGTAACATCACGTGTTCTGTGGAGCAATTGACAGTCCATAAACCAGCGCATCCACGTCTGATCGACACCACACAATGTGGGATCAGCACATTCTTTTTCATGTAGTTGGTGTACACTGGTTCTACGTTGGCATCAAAGTTGGCGGAATAGCTGTCGCTACAACCAACAGGTACATGAACGGTTGATAACGGTGGTATGATAGTGTCGCCACGGACACACAATGCCGTCTCACCATCCACAGGGTTTTCCAAGAGTGCTGGTGGAACATGATCACTCAAGACTATTGTCCCTGTGCGGCAGTCGACAGTGGCACCACACTCCTTCAAAAAGTCCATACCCAAAATAACATCATGTGTCGCCTGCGGAATAATCACGAACTCCATTGGGATAACGCGGCCTCCGAGAAACACGTGAGCTTGACACACACCAACAGGATGCAGTGCCTCACCACTCACTCCGCAAAACTTCGAAGCTTGATTCCACTTAAATAAAACCTTCCGCCCTAAGGTATCTTTAAAACACGCACTCATGACCGAAATGGTTGCCCCCGTATCCACCAAAGCCATCACAGGCACATCGTCAACAAAAACACATACTTTGTTCTTGAGCATCAACACAGGAGGTATTTCTGATATTAGCACGTCTCCCGCGACCTCACCTCCATCGGCCGCGCTTGCTAGTTTTCCTGTGGCAAAGGAGACATGTTGCGACGCCATGGTGAAGGAGAACGGGGAACACGAGGCGGTGGAGGCGTCAAGCTCCTGTCAGATGTAGGGGAGTGGTTCCGGAAGCTGCGTGTCCAGTAGTCTTCGCGATGCAGCAGGTGTGCTGCCCTAGGGTCGTCGTGCGGTCGATCAGACGATCGTGTGGAGTGTTGTGGTGGGCCATAGTACGTTGCTCGAGGGTCGTCGCGAAGTCGTTCGGAAGGCCGTGCAAAGTGTGGTGGGTGGCCATACTGTGAAGTTACACGTCGATGGTTGCAAAATCGCCAAATATGTCCTGGGACACCACAGGAGTAGCAAACCATGAGAGGTTGAAACTCTGTTTGTTCGTCAATGAATCGAACATCGTCTTCCCTGGCACAGTGGTTTGTTCGTCTCGTATATCATAAGGATAGACCGGACGTCGCAAAGAAGGCGGACGCTGAGGGCGCCGGTCATGGCGAGGAGCTGGCAAGCGTAGTGCTCTCCTTGGTTGTGGGGGTGCGCTGTACTCAACAGCTGCTGCACTGACCATCGATTGCCAAGGGGTCGTAGAAGGCGGCGGCGCAGGCACAGCCTCACATGGCACATATACCGAATGTTGGTCGTTTATAGAATGGTGATTAACTGCTGAATGTGTCTGTTCTCTATAGCGAAAAAGTACTTCGCGAACAATCTGTCGAATCATCGAGGACAGGTCTGGGCAGGAGCTCGTGTCGATGCTGGCAACCGTTGTAACATTTGTGAGCCGGCCAAACTTTGGAGCAATCCTGCGCATTTTCAGCTGTTCGAAAGTTCGGCAATGACGAATCATGTCGGGCACCGAACTCAGGTGCTCTTTCCCGATGAGAAAATTGTATACATCTTCGGCTATGCCTTTCAGCAAATGCCCTACTTTGTCTTGTTCTGACATCTGATCATTGACCACCTTGCAGAGCTTCAGCACATCCTCTATATACGTGGTACATGTCTCACCTGGAAGCTGCGCGCGTTGAGACAATGTCTGCTCAGCCCGCTTCCTTTTGATGCTCGAGTCACCGAAACACGCTTTCAGCGCGGCAACAAAAACATGTCCTCGTGGTTGTCATACCACACGAGCGCAGTATCCGTAAGGCAGAAGACCACATTACTGAGCTGAACGGCGGCATCCCAGCTGTTGGACTTGCTGACTCACTTGTACTGGACGAGCCACGCGTCGACATCTTCTCCCGATTTTCCTCCGAAGGTTGGTGGGGCTCGGTAGTAGGGCACGGAACCCACTGTAGTTGGCCTTGAATCTTGGTCCATTACGACCGGCGCAGGTGGGAGTCCGGCAAGGCGGCGGCTGCAGAGAAGTCCTGGAAGTGAAGCTCCCGTCGTTGGATTTGTCTTACCCAGCATCTTCACCAATTTGTTGCGCACAAGGAGGACCAGGACGTATACGGCTGAAGGGGGCCGTTTATTTTGGTCGCGAAGAGAAGCGCCAGAGCGGCCAACAGGTTGATGATCGCAGTGTCGTCTTCCTTCTTTCTCCAGCTTCGGGCCACCAGCCTGTTCACCCATCTTCGTTTTTTTCCCAGGCATGCGCAACAATATGTTCAATCACTCAATAACGCAGGCACAGTATCCAGATTCTCTGGAAGCCGCCAAAGACATTCCTATTCATAAAGAAGGTGATCCGGCTAACCCAGCAAACTATAGACCTATCTCTGTATATAGCATATGTTTATGATATTTCTGACGAATTATTTCCAACCAGATAAAAAAGTACAATGTGCTTTCTCATCAGCAACATGGCTTTAGACCACGCTTCTCGACAGCAACCGCAGTAATTACGTTATCACAAAAGATAAATATGCCTTTAAATCTAAACAAATCAGTAGCAGTCATCTTTTTAGATTTAAAAGAAACATTCAACACAGTGATCATTGCATACTGTTAGACAAACTTAAGCATTGTAGATTTCATGGCAAGGTGCTCGACATTTTAGCAAGTTACATAAAAGTTCAATTTCAGGTCATGATGATCAATAAGCATATCTTCTTCGAAACAAAACATCCTTACTGGCTAAGTATTAGGTACTCTTCTTTTTTCATTATATATGAACGATGTGCAAGAAATAAGTGCCTGAACTTAGTTATAATTAAAATTTGGAGTTGAAGAGTTTTTTTGGGTTGGTTCATAAGCAATAAATTAATAATTCACACACACACAAAACACGTTTTTCAGTCTCAATTCAAAATAGTAGATAGTACACCTTTAAACATACAAATTAATAGAAGTTCGCAAGAACAGACAAACTTTTACAAATACTTTGGAGTGGTTTTTGACAAGCACCTACAATAGCAAGCACACATAAACAGTGTTTGCTCCAGATTATCGTCTGGTTGCTACGATAGCCCGTGAGTACTGATACGTCCCAATTTTGCGTCTCATGCACATCGCTTTTATTGAAAGTCAAGGTATTGTATTGACTTAAGGGACTGGGAATATGAAACTTCTTTATTCCCAACTATTAAACTCCGAAAACCTGGAATGAGAGTTATGTCTCATTCTATGTATTATGATGACACGGCCCCAAGATTTTGCTAATATCACATATTACCATTTGAATATTTGCAACAAATGCGTGTTCATAAGGTCGTTAAATTCATCCAGCCATTCAGCTCATGCACATTTTATTTCCCAACGCTGCAGTACAAGTGACATTTTTTGCAAGAAAAATGACCTGCTTTTCCGCTTTCAGCAAGTGCAACGCAATGAATGGAGCTAAAGTTGCTAGAAATAACTAAAGTAGAGCCATTAGTGTCAGCGTGCAGACTCCTTTCCTCCCCTGTGCATGATCTTGTTTATAAAATGCTGCGTGTTTTGTTTTGCTTGTGCCGTGGCTTCCGAAGCAACCAGATATCCCCCGACGACACCGGCTTAGCCTCTCCTGTGTGCCAGGAGAGGGTATGCCTGTGTCCTCCTGGCGGACCTCTTAGAGGCGCTGCTGAGAAAGGAGGCACAGACGAAGGGGAGCGGTTGGCGCTGCTTCAGTTTCTTCTAAGGACTTTGGGGTGAGCTTCAGTGAGGTGCCCCCTATGTGGACCATCTTGATTCACTCAAGCATGTCATCATCATCATCATCATCATCAGCCTGACTACGTCCACTGCAGGACAAAGGCCTCTCCCATGTTCCGCCAGTTAACCCGGTCCTGTGCTTGCTGCTGCCAATTTATACCCGCAAACTTCTTGATCTCATCTGCCCACCTAATCTTCTGTCTCCCCCTAACCCGCTTCCCTTCTCTGGGAATCCAGTCAGTTACCCTTAATGACCAGCGGTTATCCTGTCTACGCGCTACATGCCCTGCCTATGTCCATTTCTTCTTCTTGATTTCAGCTACGATATCCTTAACCCCCGTTTGTTCCCTAATCCACTCTGCTTTCTTCTTGTCTCTTAAGGTTACACCTACCATTTTTCTTTCCATTGCTCGCTGCGTCGTCCTCAATTTAAGCTGAACCCTTTTTGTAAGTCTCCAGGTTTCTGCTCCGTAGCTAAGTACCGGCAAGATACAGCTGTTATATACTTTCCTCTTGAGCGATAGTGGCAATCTACTTGTCATAATTTGAGAGTGCTTGCCAAATGTGCTCCACCCCATTCTTATTCTTCTAGTTACTTCAATCTCGTGGTTCGGTTCTGCGGTTATTACCTGCCCTAAGTAGACATAGTCTTTTACAACTTCAAGTGCACTATTACCTATCTCGAAGCGCTGCTCCTTGCCGAGGTTGTTGTACATTACTTTCGTTTTCTGCAGATTAATTTTCAGACCCACCTTTCTGCTCTCCTTGTCTAACTCCGTAATCATGAGTTGCAATTCGTCCCCTAAGTTACTCAGCAATGCAATGTCACTCAAGCATGTAGTGTTTACTTATTTCAAGCTTGGCCTGTCCTGAAAATTTGGATTACAGCTATTGTAAGAAGCATGGTTTCAATCTGCATTAAAGAGAAAAATTGGGCTAATTGGTATATACACAATAGAGCACAAAGTTAGTGCTCTGTCATATTTGTTTATTGGTCTCATCAATCATCTATTCAAATGTGCCTGCTCTTAAATGTGCCCGCTCTTTGTTTCTTGTAAAAAACTTGTTTTTGCATGGTATGACTGTTTTTTTTTATTGTTTTTTGTGTGCTCTGTGAACTTTTGTTCGAGCGAAAAGACAAATGACATGGCATGCTAACTAAAAGTACATTTTTAACATCTAGTTCATATCACCATAAAATAAAAACACACATTGAATGAGAAAGCTTACCCGAAAAAACACGTAGTCACTGGTAACACACGTCGCTACTGCTGTTGGTGCTCTTAAGGGCTGCAAGAGAGCAAGTTCACACAAAGTCAAACATGAGGAATGCATGCCCTCATCCGGTGTGTGAATGTCAACCATCTTTCTTAATTCTGCAGCAGCTACAAGATGTATATAGAAAATAAAACGCTTACAGTGATGGAAGGGACCTTACACTTTTTAGACCAGGAAAAGTACCACTTGAGGGGACCGCTATAAGTGTTCACAGCAAAAAAAAAAAGTTAATTTGAGCAGGAGCAGCTGTTGATGCTTTAGGGGCAGATGGCAAATCATTCATACAAGTCCTTGAGTTGATAGCATCCCTGAAGTGTCATGTACATATTAATATCTGCCATGAAAGGCTCTCACAGACAATGTAAATCACAAAAAACAGTGACAAAGATTACTGGTTCTTGATTATCCCCCCAATAAGCTATATATTGAAAATATCAGCAATCTTAACAGAAATGATAAGAGAATAAAACTGAGTACCATAGTGAAGAACTAACCACAGTCACGTCTAACTGTTGCCAAAGCAGCAGTTCATGACCGATGTAAGATCAAAGCAATCTGTCTTTTCCACATCTCACCAATATAACCTATATATAAAAAGGGGGAAATGGCTCCGCCGCAGCGGTCTAGTGGCTAAGGTACTCGGCTGAGGACCCGCGGGATCGAATCCCGGCTGCATTTACGATGGAGGCGAAAATGCTGTAGGCCCGTGTGTTCAGATTTGGGTGCACGTTAAAGAACCCCAGGTGGTCAAAATTTTTGGAACCCTTCACTACGGCATCTCTAATATTCACATATGGTGGTTTTGGGACGTTAAACCCCACATATCAATCAATCAATAAAGAGGGGGAAAAAACCAGCTAAATTAGCAATATGATAAATATGCCAATTCTGGTAGCATAAATGAAATGCACTGAAAACTCAGCCGCAATGTGGCGCGCCATGCCAGGTGCCCTTTTCGAGGTTTTCACGCAGCAGACGACCCATGCTTGCCACTGTGTTTATGTCATGGGTGTTGTATGGTGCTCCTGGACATTTGTGTGTTGCATTTACATTACTGCAGCATTGGGAGCTTTCTCTTCTACTACTGCATGGACTTGTAAAGGTGACCAAGAAGTAGCTTGTCGTTGCTACGTGTCGATGATATAATGAGTACCACTGATTTCTTTCACCCTGTCGCGTTCCTGCTGCGAAAGATGCAGCTTAGTGAATAGGCACAGTCGCTGTTTGACCTCGTGTGCAACAGGTAGTACATCATCGAAGTCGGGATTTTCTGGCCAGACTCCTTAGCACTATCCGACGACTAGTTCACCATGATGTTTGTTCCTATTCTAGTGCCCACTGAGCGGATATTATCAGCTCTTTCTTTCAAGGGCCAAACTTCATAATGCAGGGGCAATTAAAGAGCTCCAAATTATCGGAGGCTCATAATTACATTACCAGCGCTCTCGTGAAGCAACCACGGGTGGTTTTTTGCCATCAATGCAAAGGTGGACTGTACACAATGTATGGCACGTCAGCAACGACGTTTTTTTTAGCTGTTTGTAAAGTTAGTGATTGGGCGCCCAGTCCATCGCAATTTCTTGTCAATGTTCAATAAATCAGTAGCCAAGTTACCGATATGTTCCTCGTATTTCTAACCCCTGAAATCGTGCTCGTAGCATCTAATCGTATAAGCTAAACACTGATTTATCTAGACAGTACGTTATATTGGGCCAGTTGGTGCCTCATTACTTAAAAGACTTGAAAGATGCAATGTTAGAACCATGGCGTTCCTTCCGCCTCTTTCTCGATTCTAACCAAGCACCATGTTTTTCAAGCAACTGATTTATCTTACCATCGCTGTGCAGGTCCGCACTCGCAGGCATTCAAGGAAAAGCCGTAGCTGCCGTGGTGACTAATTAAAGCTGGCTGAGAAGTTTAGTGTGCACACAGCGCATGCATATCTGACCTCGATGAGATGTGGTAATACGTTGGAACAGTGCGACCTACAAGCTTGGTAATACGACACCAATTTGTCGAGGTCTTAGCCACAGAGCTCTGCGCCTTAACAACAGCTCCATTGTCTTCACATACTACTAATTTGACTTTCAACGCCACATAGAAGCTTACGCGCTGAGAATTTTCGTTGTTGACCTTGTTTGTACAGTAGGAGGAACCGTAAACTGAGCTGTTGATCACTGTTGACTTGACACTACTGTTCGAGCAACAAGGTGTTGTTGCCTGGGAACACTTACAAGTCCATGGCGCACGCAGTGGCAGAGCAAACTTCCAATGCTGGAGTAATGTAAATGCAACACACAAGGACACGAAAGGCCCAGGAACACCACTCAACAGAGCAAACACAATGGAAAGCATGGATTGTCTGCTGCACAAGAACCTAAAGAATGGCATCTGGTGTGGTACACCGCAATGCCACATTGCAGCTGGGTTTCAGTGCATACTAGCTATAAATCTGTGCACTAGCTGTAGGCAGGTCGTTTTCAGTTTGTTTGCGCATTAGTCACATGCTGAGATTCCATGCCTCCATTTTCGCAGAGCCGTTGTGGAGCAGTTACCAACAAAAGAAATATTCGAGTTTGGAGCAGCACTGATTTCTTCAGCTTTATTAAGCTTTAGGTTTCTCAAGGGCAGTAAAACTTCCTGGCGCACACAAACTTCAATGCTTCGCCCATGGATTCCAAGGCAACTGTTAGCATAGGAGAGGACGATCACTCTTCTATTACCTGACATTCGTGTTGCACACTGTATCGTGAAACGTTATTCTGCGCAAACTTGCAGTTCTTGCAACGTCGCAAAATTCGAGAAAATTCACCATTACTTCAAACGAATACAAACATTGGACAGATAACGCAGTCGTTGCATACAGTAGTGTGCTCAAGCTCAGTGCAAGCGCGGTTTGATCTCTACGTCTAGAACCGCGATGAAAGCGACGAAGTCGGAGTGCCAACGCAGTGAACCCGACTATAGTCGCCGAATCCAGCTCACGACCGGTCGGGCCATATTGGGCTCATCTCGGGTCGCCATTGCTAACGGTGTAGATCGCGCCGTTCGGCAAACGCCAAGACGTACTGCCTCCTTTTTTACTATGGGACGGAAACGAAGAGCCCACGCACGCGAAACGGACGACACAGACTACACGACACCAGGGACGAGGCAAAGTTTGAGAAGATTTACACGGCCACTTGCTCGTACATCAAATATTTTGCTTTAGACTGAAATAACACGACATCTTACTTTCGAAAGAAGCGCAAGAGAGCATAACAAAAAAAAAGGGGGGGGGGGGCACAATTTTTAACGTTCGGACGACAAACGCAGGTTTGGAATAACACGGAAAGCGAGCACGGGAGCAACACCAGCAGACGCTCCGAAAGAAATTACGATGCAGGGCGTCTTCGCAGACATCCAAAAGATTACACAACTGTTGTCGAGCGGAGGATCTAAGGCAAACCACGAACCGTTTTCTTGAAAATTGCCCGACGACCTTTTCCTTTGGGTGCGGCTGTCTTGGTCTGTTGCTGCTGCTGTTGCTGCTTCAGCTTGGAAGTCTTGGCTCTGGTACTTTTGCGCAGCGTAAAAGGGCAGCCGTTAGCCTCCTTGGCGGACGGCGGCTCAGGTTCCGTAGGCACCGCGTGTCCGCGCAGCGCACACGAATTGCACAAAACGTCGCCTTGCTCGTTCTTGCGCCACATGGACGATACGGTGGTCTTGCATGTAGCGCACGTCGGTTTCATACCGAACGGCATCGTGAACGGTGAAACCGGGGCCAAACGTCGCTGTCAGGAAGCCAAGGCGCGGAAGACGAACTCCATGTTGTTTAAAAGATGATGCGATGGTGGCGCCCTACAATGACGCATTAGACACAAAACCGGCCAATAAGAATAAAAAATAGAACTAAGTGCCAAAGCTTGAACAGTTTTAGTACCAATTGAAATTTATATGCAGATAACGTTTTGTGGTAAAATTGCTTATTATTGTTGGATAAATAGTTTATTTGTTGCTACTGTCGATACCAATGCCACATCGGCCACACTTGCCGGCTCGAGTGCTGCCAGCATGGCAGATTCAAAGAGCTCGAAACGTTCTCAGCCGCCGTGGAAAGTGCCAGACAATTCAAGCGCCCCGCAACTGCGCCTCTATAACAGCCTTACGAGATCTAAAGAAGTGTTTGTGCCTCAGAATGCCAACCGCGTTCTTTGGTACAGTTGCGGTCCGACGGTGTATGACGCTTCACACATGGGCCATGCCCGTTCTTACATCAGCTTCGATATCCTTCGCCGGGTGCTTACGGACTACTTCGGCTATAATGTATTTTACGTGATGAACATTACGGACATCGACGACAAGATAATCAAAAGGGCCAGGCAAGATCACCTTTTTGCGAGCTACCGCAGCAATCGAGAGCGGTCGGCCAGTGCGCTCCTCCGTGACGTGAAAGAAGCCATTGAACGGTACAGGGCGAAACTTGAAAAAGAGGATGACCCGGACAAGCGAGTCATGTGTTCGCGCCTATTGGATCAGGCGTTGCAAGCTCTTGGCGCTTACGAAAAAGGTTCAGGTGACGGAGAACGGGAGGCGCTACTCGACAACGCCAAGGATCCAGTCTCGGAGTGGTTAGACTCTGAAATGGGCTCGACTGTCTCGGATCACTCAATCTTCGCCGAGTTGGCCAAACGCTGGGAGGAAGAGTTCTACAAGGACATGGCGGCGCTCGCCGTGCGTCCACCCGACGTCGTAACGCGTGTGAGTGAATACGTTCCCGAGATCGTCGACTACGTCGGGGAGATCATTGACCGTGGGTTTGCCTACGTCTCCAGTGGCTCGGTGTATTTTGACACCGCCCGCTTCGATGCCGACCCGAAGCATTTCTACGCCAAGCTTGTGCCCGAGGCTTACGGCGACCAGAAGGCGTTGAAGGAAGGCGAAGGTGCGCTGATGGTGGCCGGTGACGACGAGAAAAGAAGCGCCAACGACTTCGCGCTCTGGAAGGCTTCCAAACCGGGTGAGCCGGCGTGGAAGTCGCCCTGGGGCCCCGGAAGGCCCGGATGGCACATCGAGTGCTCAGTGATGGCAGGCAGCCTGCTAGGTTCGTCGCTGGACATCCACACGGGTGGGTACGACCTCAAGTTCCCGCACCACGACAACGAACTGGCGCAGGCAGAAGCCTACTTTGGCAACGACCACTGGGTTCGCTACTTCCTGCATTCGGGGCACCTGACCATCGCTGGCTGTAAGATGTCCAAGTCACTCAAGAACTTCGTCAGCATTCGTGATGCCTTGAGTCGACACTCGGCACGAAGGCTGCGCATGGCATTTCTCCTTCATTCGTGGAAGGACACGCTAGACTACAGTGAAAACACAATGGACATGGCCTCGCAGTGGGAGAAAGTGTTCAGTGAGTTCTTTTTGAACATCAAGGACCTCCTGCGGGGTGCTCCAGGAGCCGACTGCGTTGCTGCTTTTGTTAAATGGTCAGAGGACGAAACAGCACTGAACAACAAGTTCCTCGATGCCAAGGATCAAGTGCATGCGGCCCTGTGTGACAACATTGACACTAGGTCTGCGTTGGAAGCCCTTCGTTCGGCTGTGACCGCCTGCAACGTGTACATCAGGAGCAAACTGGAATCAAAAAAGTGTCCAGATGTCACGCTGCTTCGCAATGTTGCAGGATATGTTACGTACATCTTGCGAGTGTTCGGAGTCTGTAATGAAGCTGTGGTTCCTACAATTGGATTTGGAGCAGGTGATGGCAAAGAGTCAAACGTCCCCCAGGAAGAGCTTTTGCAGCCTTACCTCGAAGTTCTCTCAGCTTTTCGGCAGAATGTGCGTAGCATCGCAAAAAAATTTGCTGGCTCGAATGAATCCGACGAAGTTCTTCAGTGGTGTGACCACCTAAGGGACAGCATGTTGCCTGAATTGGGAGTGCGCTTGGAAGATCGGGAAGATGAGAATGGAGTCCTGACGTCAGTTATTAAGGTTGTTGGTAAAGAAGCCATTTTGGCAGAAAGAGAAGAGAAGAGGAGGAAAGAAGAGAAGAAAAAGGAAGAGAAGGAAAGGAGAAAGCGGGAAATGGAACTCAAGCAAGCGGAGAGAGACATGCAACGTGCTGTGAACCCAAAGGAGATGTTCCTAAAAGAAACGGACAAGTACAGCCGTTTTGACCCAGACACCGGCTTGCCTACCCATGATGTGGAAGGGAAAGAGCTGAGCAAAGGGCAACTGAAAAAGGTGAAAAAGCTGCAAGAAGCACAAGAGAAGAAGTATGAGAAGTATCTCGCGGAGGTAAAAGAATCTGTTGGTTAGTGTGCAGGGAAATCCATGGCTCTGATACAGGTTACTAGATGATTTCAAATGTGTGTGTGGTCAGATTGAGTACTTTGTATAATGTTTAGTTATATATCATCCACTTTTGCATACAATTGGCATACTGCAGTATATGCTTGTTGGTATAATTTGAATAATATGGATGATGATAAAGGCGTGATTCAACTTTATTGAGAGGACATATTCAGCTTTACAGCTTGCTAAGTTGTGGAGCTGCTGTTTTTTTTATTCTATGAGCATGTTGCACAGGATAAAGCTTTATAGCGCTCGTGAAAGTTGCTTTGCTCATGTCCTTATTGCTGTATTGCTATAAACATTTCTTGACCACTGTGTTAATGAATAACCACAATTGTTTGCCTCTTCTCATTGTGATCTGCTCATAGGACATGTTTCTTTTTTGTTTTCGAGCATTTGAATAAATTTAATAATGCTATGTGTGTATGGCGACATAGATGGTTCTCGTGAACGGATTGTATGAGGAAGCAACATTCCCCCAAAAAGAGCCAGTGTTGAATGTAATGTAGATATGGTTTCAATCATTTCTTGCTCATCCCTAAAGTAAGAAACAGAGAACCTCTTGAAACAATACTTTTTTGGCATATCACTAAATTAAGTCATTTGTTTGTGTTCATTTATTTATTTTATTTATACAATACTGCAGACCAATTTAATGGTCCAAGCAGGACGGGCAGAAAAAAAGAATGTTCACGCACATACAATGCAATGCAATGTAACAAAAACAATCAAGCAACAAAACGCAGAATTCACTTGGAACTACAAAATAAACAAGCCACGGTGAAACCGACTTTTCGCACAAACTTAGCAGGGTTTCCAATCCAAATAAATCTAGAAAATCACGCACAGCTTCAAGAAACATTGCTAAAAACCCGAAGGTCAGTAATTAAAAGTTTCTAAAATGATCGTGTAGGGCTGTCATAAAATTTCCACTAAAAATTCTTTCTGGCAATTTATTCCAGTCATCTACCGTGCGTGGAAAATATGAAAACTTAAAGGTATTTGTTCGGGCAAAGAATGGGGATAAACTGTGGCTATGTGTGTGTCGTGTTTTCCTCGTGGTGGACGGACTAATGAATGGAGTGGGTGATAATCCAGTCTTACACTTAATTAGGGATTCCATAAAAGCTAAGCGGGCAATTTGGCGTCTAATGTGTAGTGGTTGAATTTTATTGATTGCCATGATACCTGATGGAGAATCACTTCTTTTATATTTATTATAAATAAAACGAACAGCCCTTTTCTGAACCTTCTCCAATTCGTTAATGTTTTTGTTCGTGTGCGGGTCCCAAACAACCGCTGCATACTCCAGTTTAGGCCTAATTATGGAATTATACGCTAAAAGCTTAACGTTACTAGGTGTACCTCGAAGTTTATGCCGTAAAAGACCAAGTTTTTTTAGCGCTGAAGAAGTTGCCTGCCGAACGTGGTCGTTCCAATCTAATCTGGAGTTCAATACGATACCTAGGTATTTAAACTTACTAACCTCCTCGATTAAGGTGTTTTTAATTTTGTACCGGAAAGTTATGGGGTTTCTTTTTCTGGTTATACGTAAAAGAACTGTTTTTGTAGTGCTAATTTTCATGCCCCATTTGTCGCACCAAGATGATATGTCACATAAAGCCCTATCTAGCCGATGTTGATCAGAAGCAGACTGCACTTCAGTATAAATCATGATATCATCCGCGAACATTCCAATATTCACAGTATCACCAACCACAGACACTAAATCATTAACATACAACAAAAAAAGCAGGGGCCCCAGCACACTTCCCTGGGGCACACCTGATGTCACTGTTAGAGAAGAGAAACAAGTACCATCGATGTCTACAAATTACGTTCGATCTTTCAAATATGAATTAACCCAATTTACAAGTGTAGAAGGAATTCCTGCTTGTTTAAGTTTTAAAAGAAGGCTACCGTGAGGAACCCTGTCAAATGCCTTGCTTAAGTCTAAAAACAAAACATCAATTTGCCCGGAGTGATCTAAGATTGAACTAAAACTATGAACGGCGGTGACCAACTGCGTAACGGTAGAAAATCCCTTTCTAAAACCATGTTGGAAGGGACTCAATGTTTTATTTTTTTCCAGTACATTAAGAATATGGTTAGCTACAATATGTTCTATCATCTTGCAACAACAGCACGTTAAGGAAATTGGTCGATAATTGTCAACATGGAAACGGTCTCCATTTTTAAAAACTGGAATTACCCTAGCCATAAGCCAATCATGGGGCAGCACGGACGTCCGAAAAGATTCACGAAAAATGACTGTCAAAAACCGAGCTAAAGATTCTGCATAGCGACGCAGAAAGGCGTTCGGGATTTCATCCGAGCCAGTAGTTTTCGCAGAAGCATTTCAAAAACTCCTTCAAAAGAAACAAGCTCGATCTGTTCCGAATGAGCCTCCATATAAAACTCATCACCTTGATCGTTTGAAAACACAGAATGAAAAAAGGAATTGAAAGCATTAGCAATGGAGAGACGAGATGTTTCCATCTTGCCATCAACCAATAATTGATCGACCGATTTACGTGCACTACGGATGTGATTCCAGAACTTTCCTGGATCATTTAAAATGAACTGAGGCAAACTTTCGCAAAAATACCGTTTCCTTGCGGATTTTACGTTGCTCGAAAGTTTGGAGACTAACCTATTTAAGACATCACAATCGGGACTGCGAGTCTTCTTGATACGTTTAATTCGCCGTTTTAGGTGAATAATATCTCGGTTAATTCATGGATTGACCCTTTTGGTTTTTTTCTTATCAGGTATAAAAGACTTTAAACAAAATTTGCAATGCTCTTTAAACATTTCCCACAAATGCCGCACATCATTACCTTGAAAGCTTTCGTAAGCTATGTCAAGGTAATCCAAAACAGACTCGTCTCTCGCCCTGGAGTAGTCTTTGACATATGTATGCTTAACTCCCGCCAAACGTTTTTTAGGTTCCAGAAAGACATTGGTAACTACAACCTTGTGATCAGAAATCCCGTCACTTACATGTAATGAATAATCAGAAAAACTGCGATCTAAGAACACAAGATCGAGTACGGACCTAGCTGTACTGCAAATTCTGGTGGGCTCAAGAACAACCTGGTTTAAATTATGAGTTAGCATAATGTCGGATAGAATATCAGAGTGCTCTGCGGCTCCGACACATCCAGTAGGCCAATCAATACCTGGTAGATTGATATCGCCAACAAGCATAAGCCTGGTTTTGCGGAAACTAAACAAATGATCTTGGAGCTTTCGCAAATAAGAAGAATCAGAACTGGAGGTCTGTACAGCGCACATAGGACGAAAGTGAAACTAGAAAATGTTATCTTGAGAAGCAGGCTTTCGTGGTCTTCTATTTGATTTAAAACCACAGCTTTCACATTTTTCTTTAACAGAACAGCCACACCCCCCCCTCGTGACCCACGGTCACGTCTGAAGACCGAAAACGATAAAGGAAAGACGCAGTCGTCAGTGATATCGCTGGTTAACCAAGTCTCAGTTATTACTGCTACGTCGGGGTTGTGCGCAAGTAATGCAATTTCCAGGGATTGTGATTTATTGACAACAATTTGGGCATTCATATTCAAGATGTTCTATTGTTAACATAGTTACTCTCAAAATTTTACACTAGAATGTCCATTATATTATTCACAGATTTATTTCTGTATTCAATAATTTTTTCCAGACATAATCACTTAGCAAAAAACTTGAACCATCTCCCCGATAGGAACCCTGATAGCATGCGAAGCAGCAGCGTTGCGCATGGGTGGCATCATGGGTTGAACGGCACTGATGAAGGTGCTGTAGTGAGCGCTGCAAGATTCGTTTTGAAGCAATGGCTGGCGTAGGTCAAATGTAGACATGTTTCAACGTGTACGTTAGGTGCACGTCAGGTTTATTGCACGTGAACTGTCGAGTTGGCGGTGTAGCGAGCAAATGGACGAACGGCGGCTGCAAGCGAGGGAGAGAGTGATGTCAGTGCAGTGCGAGGGGAGCATGATGTCAACACGGAGCAGCGGCATGACCTACTTGGCGTCGCGCCAAAATTTTCGGCCCTTCTGCACGGAGGGACAGCGTTACACTGGCTAGTCAAAGAGCTACTTCACACCTAAAAAAGTGGTTTGTGAGTGTTCAGAAAATTCTTCAAGAACATGATCAATTTTACTGTTTGCATCAAAGCTTTAGGGGTGGTGGCTATGCCTTCTTGGTTTGCAAAAAATGTTATTACATGGCAACAATACTATATCAATGTACAGTGTTCATGAAGTCAGTGTAATAATTTAGGGCTGAGTAATCTGCACTACTATTACTACTATGAGTCTATGACTACAATCATACTACAGTAAACTGAGTTAGCCTTTCTTTCTTTTTTTTACCCTCAGGGCTTTACAGCATTGTAGAGGGGAGGGGCAAAAAGCAAAACATACACGTAATAAGTCAGCCAACGCACAAAAACTACAAAAGATTCAATAATAAGAAAACGAGCAAAAGCGAAACGGGCAAAAAGCAAAACATACCCGTAATAAGCCAGGCAACGCAAAAAAAAATGCAAAAGATTCAATAATAAGAAAACGAGAAGAAAAAAAAAGAGAATGCGGTGTGAAATACAAGTTACGAATACGATGAGGAATTATCACGTGCGCAACATGAAATTCAATTTACATGGAAGAAGTCAAGGCCTGACGGAACGCGTCAGGTTCAGTAATACTGGCGGTTGAATGCTGACAGAAGATTCAGTTGCGACATGTGTTAGGAAGGAAAGATTGGGAAAAGGTCACGGTGTTACTTCGAGGAAAATGCACTTTGTGGGGGTGATCTATGCAGGATGATATGAAAGATGCAGACTGTAATAAGTGCGATTTTAGAACGTGATTGTGATAGTATATTTTTTGGAACGCGCAAAGGCGAGCGATTTTTCTACGCAAGACAAGCGGAGGGAGATTAAGCCTGACCTTCATGGCAGTTACACTAGATGTTCGATTATAGCTACAAAGAATGAAACGTGACGACCGGTTTTGGATTGCCTCTAATTTGTTAACGAGTGTTATGTGTCCGGGATCCCATACACATGCGGCGTACTCCAGTAGAGGACGGATGTAGGTGATGTACAGCTGTTTGTTTAAAAAAGTCGGCGCAACAGGAAAGTTTCGTTTTAAGTAACCGAGCATGCGATTAGACTTGGATGTGACGTGATTAATGTGGTCGGACCATGATAGCGAGTTAGTAATGTGAACACCAAGATACTTATAAGACCGGACATATTCAAGAGGGGTTGCGTTCAGGCTGTAGGAATAGTTATCGATAGATGTGTGGTTACGTGAAACTCTCATTGCTTTACATTTAGAAATGTTAAGTTCCATCTTCCAAAGATTACACCAATGTAAAATGTTGTTTAGGTCTGCTTGTAAGGTTTCGGTGTCGTTATGATCAGTAGTT